TATACTGATATGTACGTGGTACCGAGCAATTCGGTCATCAGGGCGTCGTCCTCCTCGGGCGTCTTTCCTCGGCGCCGAGTGCCGGCGATGGGGTGGGTAGTGACCTCGCGATTGTAGACCTGCACCAGCATCTCGGGCGACGAACCAACTGCGCAGAACAAATAATTAAAAAAGGATATAAAGCAATAACAAACATACAAATAAATTGATAAATATAAATAAGAATATATTGATTTTATAGATAAATTATGCGATTCATTTGTGTTGTTGGTACCGAGTTGGAAGTCGTCGCAGTCGACGTAGAAGGTGTAGCGCGACGGGTTGAGTTTGCGCAGCTGCTGGTAGACGTTGAACGGGTGCACGCCGATCTTGCGCGCGATGCGCTGCGAGGGCACCACCTGGATGAAGTCGCCGTCGATGATCCGCTCGCGCAGCTTGCGCACCATTCCCTCGTAGCCCTCCTTGCCCACATTCGACACACCCTCGTGCCTGCGCGCAACGATGAGTCATGCGCACGCCACACACACACACACACACACACACACAACCGCACACGCACACGCACACGCGAGGGCGTACCGTGTCGGGTCGGCATCAACGAACTGGACGGCCGGCTGCGCTAGTCGGCTGCGGAGCTCTTCGATCCGGGCCACGGAGAGGGCGTAGTTCTTGACCACGTCGCCCTCCAGCGAACAGAGCGCAACGATGCGCATCTTCTGCGTCGCGTGATCGAACGCGATGAACGAATTCACGAACATGAACATGCTTTCCTGTAGCCCCGCGTGCGTGTGCGGTGGTGTGTGTGTGTGTGTGTGTGCGTGCGTGGTTAGTGGATTGGATGGCAAGCGACGAAGACTGAGGCAAGAGAGACGCGCGCGTACGGGGAGTTGTAGGGTGTCCGGCTGGGCGTACTGGTCCACCCGCGGCTCGAAGTAGCGGATGCAGTCGTACGAGATATACCCGAACGCCGCGCCGTTCAACACCTCCGGCTCCAGCCTGTACTCGCTCGCCACCTGCGCGTTCATAGAAAGTCAGACGTTAGACCTGACCGTGCGTGCGTGTGCGGTTGCGTGCGTGTGCGGTTGCGTGCGTCGCGCGCGCGGTGGAAGGGAGAAGTGACCTTGTGGTTGGCCAGCTCGCGCTCGAGGTGGACGAGCGGGTCGCCGTGGTGCTCCAGGCCGGGGCCGGTGCGCATGACCTTCCACGGTTCGGCGGACACGATGGAGTGGCGCAGCACGATCGGGTTGTTCTTCTCCGACAGCTCAAAGATGAAGGCCAGGTTGTCGTCCTTCTCCTTGTTGGTCGTCTCGCTGCTGTTGCTGCGTCGTCGAATCTTGAGGAAGGCGGTCGTGGGCGTTTCGTCGCCTGCGTCGGATTCGCAGCAGATGGCCACGAGATTGGCAGTGCGGTCGGCTTTGGCCGCCAGCTGCTGCACTTCATCGAGTGTGGGCGCGTAGTGGTGGGTGGTGGTGCATCTTCTCAAGATCTTGCAAATGCTTCTCGAGTTCGTGTCGCTACGTCGCCAAATGGGGGTTTGTTCAACTTGAATGAACGAACGAAAAAAAGAGATAAATAAATAAAGGCCTAAATGCGAATAAATGGATACAACAGATTTAGGAATATTGCTATCGGCGAGAGTGACGGAGTGGGGAGGGCAGTGTGATCTTCGCTTGCCTTCTCTCTTTGATGGTGCACGAAAAAACATAACGGAGATTAATCAGAACTGCTGTTGGTCCTCCCGTTCTGTGGAGGCAACTGATCAAGAATTTGGATTATTTTAGGTTTTGTTTCGTTTGAATAATTAACATTCTAACCAAGTGAGGGGAATGTCCGGAAGATAAACTGACAACCCACGAAGCGAAGAAGCCACAGCGCTCAAGATCTAGCGTTCATCTTCTCACACTACGCGGAACGCACACAACACAACACAACACACCACAACACACAAAGATGTCTGAGCGCATACTGAGCACTTTTGCAAAGGCCAAGGCCGAGGGCCGACCAGTGTTTGTGCCGTTCGTGACTGCGGGCTTCCCGACCCAGCAGGCCACCGTCCCGCTACTCCTGGCCCTCGAGCAGGGTGGCGCCGATCTCATCGAGCTGGGCATCCCGCACACGGACCCTCTCGCCGATGGTCCCACCATCCAGGAGGCCTCTGCCGGTACGCCAACCCCCCCAAATCCAGCAAATCGATTTTTACATTTTCTATTTTCTCATTCATTCAGTCAGTCTGGTCTAATCTATATTTGCAATTAAAAAAATTAAGTAATCATGTTTTGTGAGTATATTCACCTGTCATAACGAATATAAATACAACACAATTAAAATTTATATTTACTTATTTATACATAAATTCGTGTGCTACCCGAGTGGCGGAAACCAACTTCCGTTGCCGTAGTTCCACCATCGGGGATAATCTGACTTCCCACGCTGATCACTCCTCCTTCGCCTTTTCTTCTTTTCTCTCTTTTCGCCGCTATGCAGTGGCCCTGGAGGGCGGTGTGACGCTGCCCAAGTCCCTCGAGTTCGTTAAGGAGGCGCGGGCCAAGGGCCTCACCGTGCCCGTCGTGCTCATGGGCTACTACAACCCGTTCCGCGCCTTCGGCGAACACAAGATCGTCCAGTCCGCCAAGGAGGCCGGTACCATTCCTCTCCGTGTCGTGTCGGTGGTCGTGTCGTGCTAATACCATGCACTACTGGGTGTGTTTGGTGTAGGCGCGGACGGCTTCATCGTGGTGGATCTGCCGCCCGAGGCCAGCCAGGACTTCCGCAAACACTGTCAGGAATTCCAGATGTACGTTCCCACAATGGCCTGACGGCCAACTTCAAAATTGGGACGATCGTCCACTCGACCCCGGCCTTGTATGTTCACACACACACACAACAACCTCATTAGGTCGTTCGTGCCGCTGATCGCGCCCACGACGAGCAATGAGCGGCTCAAGTACATCAACACCATCGCCGACAGCTTCATCTACTGCGTGAGCTTGCTCGGCGTCACCGGCGGCCGCACCCAGCTCTCCAACGAGCTCGAAAGCTTCGTCGCTCGGTACCCTCCCACTCTCGCGCGCGCGTGTGTGCGTGTGCGTGTGCGGTGGTGCGTGTGCGTGTGCGGTGGTGCGTGTGGTGTGTGCGGTGGTGTGTGCGGCGGTCTGACTGGGGTGAGGGTTGCAGTGTGAGGCAGCACATCAAGTGGCCGCTGGCGATCGGGTTCGGCATCAGCAACCGCGAGCACGTGCAGCAGGTGGCGAAGCTGGGCGAGGGCGTGGTGGTGGGTTCGCAGCTGATCAAGGTCATCCGCGAGTCGCCCGCCGACAAGCAGGTCGACGCCGTGCGCCAGGCCGTCGAGGCCCTCATCAGCGGGGTCAAGTCCGACCTCCACCTCCCGGCCGAGGTCGAGCAGGCCCAGGCCCAGATCTTCGACGCCGCGCTCCACGCCGGCCAGCACCAGCCCACCGAGCTGCCCTCGTCGTTCGGCAGCTTCGGCGGGCGCTACGCCCCCGAGACCCTCATGGGCGCCCTCGACGAGCTCGAGCAGGCCTATCTCAAGTACGCCCCCGCCCGCCCCCTCTCGCCCCCTCTCACCCCCTCCGCGGTGGTTCTGACGGGAGGGGTTCGCAGGGTCAAGAACGATCCGACGTTCCAGGAGGAGATCCGCGCGTACTACGACTATGTGGGCCGGCCCACGCCGCTGTCGCACGCTGACCGGCTCAGCCGCGAGCTGGGCGGCGCCCAGATCTGGTTCAAGCGCGAGGACCTATGCCACACCGGTGCCCACAAAATCAACAACGCCAGTACGCTCACCGCACACGCACACGCACACACGCGACCGCACACGCTCACCGCACACGCCACGCACACAACAGTCGGGCAGGCGCTGCTGGCTAAGCGACTGGGCAAGACGCGCATCATCGCCGAGACCGGCGCGGGCCAGCACGGCGTGGCGACGTCGACCATCTGCGCCAAGCTCGGCCTCGAGTGCGTGGTCTACATGGGCATCGAGGACGTCAACCGACAGAGCCTCAACGTGTTCCGCATGAAGATGCTCGGCACCACCGTCATCCCCGTCCACAGCGGCTCCAAGACCCTCAAGGTTCTCCCCCCTCCTCAACCGCCGCTCGTGCGCCTTCTCTCGCTGACACCGCACACGACACGACACGACACGACACGACACGACACGACACGACACGACACGACACGACACGACACGACACGACACGACACGACACGACACGACACGACACGACACGACGATGGTGGTGACGGTGTGTAGGATGCGGTGAATGAGGCGATGCGGGACTGGGTGACGAACATCCGCACGACGCACTACCTGGTGGGCTCGGCCATCGGGCCGCACCCGTTCCCGACCATCGTGCGTGACTTCCAGAGCGTGATCGGCAAGGAGGCCCGCGAGCAGATCCTCCAGAAGGCCGGCCGGCTGCCCGACGTCGTCATGGCCTGCGTCGGCGGCGGCAGCAATGCCATCGGTACACCCCTCCCCGCGCGTGCGTTTGTGTCGTGTACGCTGTGCGCTAACACACACACACACACACACACACACACACACACGATGCAGGCACGTTCCATCCGTTCATCAACGACAAGGAGGTCAAGATCGTGGGCGTGCAGGCGGCGGGCGAGGGTGTCCATACGGACAAGCACTGCGCGACGCTGGTCAAGGGCACGCCCGGCGTGCTGCACGGCACGCGCACGATGCTGCTGCAGGACCCCGAGGGCCAGATCAAGTCCACGCACTCGATCTCGGCCGGGCTGGACTACCCCGGCGTCGGACCCGAGCACGCGTGGCTGCTCGAGTCGAAGCGCGCCGAGTACGTGGCGGTGAGCGACGAGCAGGCCCTGGAGGGCTTCAAGGAGCTCACGCGCAAGGAGGGCCTCATGCCGGCCCTGGAGACGTCGCACGCCGTCTACCACGCCATCCAGCTGGCCAAGACCATGAAGCCCGACCAGATCATCCTCGTCTGCATGAGCGGTCGGGCCGACAAGGACATGGGCACCCTCTCCGCCGCCCTGGGCGTCACCCTCCACTAATGCCGTAGCCTTGTGGGCGTGGCTTGAAATTACCTAAATTGTCTACACTGTGTCATCGGATGGTTGATTTGTGGTGTAGCCTGGTGGCGATCCTGTATCGTGCCTCCCACACACACACACACACACAGCGCACGTTTGAAGGCCTGCAGAGGGCCAACGATGTAGATGATGTGTGGCGTGTGCAGTGGTGCGTGATCTGTTTGTGAGTTACTTCACGATGCGGAGACGGGGCACGTCAGCGCACACTGGAAAACTTCGGTGCCGGTGAGGTGCTGCCACCCGAGGTGGAGCAGGCTACCCGCTCGGCCGCGACCTAAGTCACCAAGCGGCGTGCTGGATGGCAGGCTGGCGATGCGGCGGCTCAAGCAGCGCTCAACGAGGGCAACCAACGCAAAGTCGGCGATGTCGTCGGCTGACTGGACAATCGGTGCGTGTTGTGTGCGTGTTCATGTGCGAAACGGCGCCACGGGTAGGGCCAAAGGCGAGCAGAAGCTGGCAGTGTTGGAAGATGAGATGAGGCTGAGAAGCTGTAGGTGATGTGACCAGGTCAAAGTGGAGAGAAGAGGTAGATTGTATTGGAGGAGTTTAGGGAATATAGGTACAAGATATGGGAATAAGGAAAGAAAGAATAAGTATAATAAAAAAGAAACTTGAAGATAATGAGTATGCAACAGGCAGACTGCCCTACATCTTCCCCTCTTGCCACCCTGTTGCCACATTAGTGGTCCGAGCTTACGAAGCCCAAGCGGCCAAGAGGGGCGCCCACTCGGCGGTGGTCATGTGGGTCCAAGCCAGGGGACCACCATGGGACACTTCTACGTGCGCCATGGCCTAGGCCACCTGCAGCTGCTCAAGTGGGCTCAAGCCCACAATTGCATACACCAATGTGGCAACGCCCCCCCCCCTTTCCTCTCTTGCTGTGGGTGGAAGTGGAAGAAAGAGCACAGCAGAATGAGCAAACACTTAGATCTATTACCTCTCAACAGTCATTTGTGAGTGAACCAGGTCCCTCACTACTTCTTCAGCAGGGTGATCAGGGAGATATTGTCCCAGGTAGCAGTCTGAAACCACTCCTTCACAATGGCTGCCACTCAGTCCCACTGCTCTGGGGGGTAGGACGCCTTCACCCCAGGCTTGTCCAGCATCATCCCAACAACTTCATTGGTTGGCTCTATGCTGGTCCATTCAGCTTCAAAGGGAGACATGCTAACAATCTGGTTGTTGGTGAAGCCAGCAGTGTTCAGCTGTTTTGTGAGCTCATCAGGGTCACCCAGCCTGTAGACCATGTGTGCCGTTGCTTTGGATTGCGCCTTGTCAGTGGCCTCTGTTGCTGAGGCCTGAGGAAGAGTAGCACACAACCACTTGGCAATTTCCTGCATCAGCCACAGCATTGCCACTTTCTTCCAGACAACAATGACTGCACACCCGCCAGGACACAGCACTCTCAGCATTTCCCTGATGAGAATAGCATGAGGTTATGTAGGCTCTAACATGTGATGTGGAGGCAGACTCTACCTGAATCTTTTGACCTCATTGGGGAAGAACATCACACCAAACACACACCCAATGGCATCCACACTGTCATCCCTCAGCAAGCTCATGTCCTGAAACAGAAGAGAGATCAGGTTGGTGAACATCATGTGGTGAAAGAAGGACAGGATGCCTATCACCTGTCCATCCATCTGTTTGCATTCAACAATGTCACTGAGACCCTGGTTGTGCACTGCAGTCCTGCAGGTGGCTACCATGGCCTCAGCAAAGTCTGTCGCCAGCACCTTGTAGTCTTTGTCACTGGCATGGATGCACTGGAGCTCCTGCCTGCAGTGCGAAAGTGCCAGTACCAGCAGCCACATCAAGTACAACATGGTCCTCCTTTCCAAGGTTGAGCAATCATAGAGCCTCAGCCAAGTGCAGCCAGGTAAGCTGGATTGCAAATGTGTTGTACTGCTTCACATGCTTGCTCCATTCGTCAGGGTTGAAGCAGAATCATCAAGCAGAACCATCATTTTGTTCTTGCAATTTGAGCTGCCAATCACCAACAAGGCGCGCTATGTCCCCAAAAGGACAAGCTTGGGAATGCACAGCATCCACCCCTTTTTGTGCCCTCTTAAATTCAATTGAATCAAACCACTCTCTGCAATTGGCTCCCCTGGGGATACATATCTCCCTTCCACATGAACACTGGGATATATCCTGGTTAAAAAGGTTGCAGTCTGCCCACATCACCCACCATAACTCCACAACCAATCAATTCAACTGTTGTATCACTTCATGGAGTGCTGGAAACATTGGCATTTACATTGATCTTCAACTTGTGCTCATTTGAAATAAGAGGTTGTTGGTGTGTATCTGCACTCTGCTCTTGTGGTGGTACTGCTAGTGAGAACAGGTAAGTCACCCAGAACTTGTGAAATGAGAGGTCCAGTCATTTTGAAAAGTGATTTTGTTTAAGCCCTATAAATGGTTTTGACAACACAAAAATGGTTTTAATTCAAAAATAGCAAGACATTTGTTGTTGGGAGCATCTTGAGAAATGACAGATTAAAATACCATAAGGAGAGATATGATGCTGCAGAAGAATCATGAAAACAGGCCATTTTTTATTAAAAAGATAATGATAACAATAATAATAAAAAAAAAGTACAGAAATGGCAGCAGGTCAGCTCCACACCAGGGCCACTTGCAACCCACAACAATGCAGCTACTATGTAGCATTGCCAGTATGTGTTGTTGGAGGTGGGACACCCATACATTGATGAGCACATGCAGGTGGTGATGTCACTTCAAGTTTTTTGTCATTAATTGTCCTTTATTTGGGTACAGTGATTAAAACAATTAACCACCTGCTCGCAGGTCATTGTTTGCAAAGCAAGGGCGATGAGCTGATAAAGATTAAGAGCTGATGTGTGCTTTGCACAAATCATCCTTCACAAATGTGAAAACAAGCTTGCATGGGTTCAGCTCAGGCGAGTAGGCTGGGAGAAAGGCATAGTAGATGTTGTGGTGGGCAAGGAAGCTGTTGAGGAGGGGGCGCATGTTGTCAGCGAAATGAATGGCAGCATTGTTGACAATCAGCAAGTCACCACTCTGGAGGCAGCCAGCAGCCACAGCATCTAGCACAAAATTGAAAAAATCCCACTCAGTGTTGCTGTTGTGACAAACACAAATAAAAAAATGGGGATTGACCCCGTAAATCAAGAAGGAGAGAGAGCGAAAAAGTGGTAGAAAGGGAATCAAGGGAAGAGCAAAAGAGGGGAGCACCTTGTGGGCCAATTTGATGTTGTTGTTGGAGGTGATGGGAGGCAAAATGTGCCTCATCACAAAATTTCAAACATTCAATTGGAAGTTGAGAGATGTACCAAATCCAAAGGGCTTAATGTGAAAGATTGTCAGGGGTGAACTTGAGCCATTGGACAGTCATTGGCTTCTTCCATGTCCATCTCCAATTCTTGAAAATCTGCCTCAAGAAGGAGCTGGAGATGGGCACACCCTGTTAATTGAAATGGCGTGTCAAATCAGTCAGATTAAAACAACCAAGGACAGGAGGTCGTGGATGAGCCTCTCTTCTTCTTCGCCAAATAGAAGGCCCCTAAAACTCCTGTTAGTGAAAAATTAGTTTTCCAAGAAAAAGTGATAATTTGAAAAACAAACCTGAATCTGCCCCACTGGCCAGGCTGCCAGCCTGGTTGACACACAGCCTTCTTCCAGTACTGTATGGTTGTGTGAGCTACACCAACCAGCTTTGCTGCTTGCGTTTCACTAGTAAGAAGAGAAAGCAACACCCACAAAAACTGACATTTGTTCAAATCCTTGCTGTGACAAAGATGTAGATTAGTAAATCTGTGCCATTCATCAAATCATAAGGCTGAATGACAGAGAGTTGGAAGGGACTATGTACTGTTGCTTAACTTGCAGCTTGAAAGTCTTCAGTTGGGCTGGGGTGTGGGTGTGAAGCCTTGGCTTGACAGAAGATTTTAGCATTTTTTAGTTTTGAACTTTTATACTTTTTCCCTGTTCTTAGAGATTTCTTGGTCTATGTATCTCCTAACTCCTGTCCTACACTTCCTGGGGTAGAGGTAGAGGCCCCTCCAATCTACTTCATCTTTCTGTCTTTTTTTTTGATGCATCATTACCAAGAAGATGTGGTGTTTGATAGAGAGAGAACTGTGTCTGCTGCACTTTTCCTTTCAAGGATTCAAACATTCTACCCAGGGATAGATGTGGGGGCACTTGATTTCTCTTATGACCCCTGCCTGAACTGTCACATCCCCCTGTTTGAGAAACATCTCCCAAACAAAGATGGGCATGTGTATGCTCATGTGTGTGTGTTTGGTTGCTGTGAGAGCTGGCAGCTCTGCTTTGGTCACCAGAGAAAAGGTGCATCTCCCTTGTCTGATGTTGTTTGTTTTATTGAATTTCTGACCACCACATGTCCATTTCTTTTTTCTTTTCTGGCCAGAACACCAAGCCAAAGTCAAGCAGACCACTGGCAAGTCAAAAAAGAAAAGAGCATCAGGGATTGAGGATTTCGTGAAGGCTCATCTTGCACCTGTTTGGCTCACAGCTTCCCCCCCCCCACAAGCTACTGTGTTATGTTGAATGCAGCTAGAGAAGGGCTGTGTAAAGGGGTGCAGCCATGGCTAAACCCCGTGGTCCAGATGGCGAAGTCACTGGCGCTTGCTGTGGAGACAACACCCTCTATTGCATCACTTCTTGAGCGGTGTCTGCCTGTAGCTGATTTGGCAATGGTTGATCTCGTTTCTTGCATTTGTGAGAAGAACACAGATCTAATCAGAACACTGGTCAACGAAGTCTAGTGCGTCTCCCAATTTTATTCTTTTTTCTTGTTATTTCTCTGTCTAACACTCACACAGTTGTGCAGCAGAAAGGCTTGAACCACCAGCGCCACCCTTGTCTCTGTCTGATCTGCTGTACTACCAGTCTTCGCCCGTGCACATAACAAGCCCCCAGACCAGGCCAGCCTGTGGACTGTCCTCTGCTGGTGCGCTGCTGGTGCTGTTCTCCTCCGCCGGTGCGCCGCCGGTGCTGTTCTCCTCTGCCGGTGCGCTGCCGGTGCTGTTCTCCTCCGCCAGTGTGCCGCCGGTGCTGTTCTCCTCCGCCAGTGTGCCACCAGTGCCATTCTCCTCCACTGGTGCGCCGCTGGTGCCATTCTCCTCTGCCAGTACGCCGCTGGTGCTGTTCTCCTCTGCCAGTGCGCCGCTGGTGCCATTCTCCTCTGCCGGTACGCCGCCGGTGCCGTTCTCCTCTGCCAGTGTGGCGCCAGTGCTGTTCTCCTCCGCCAGTGCGCCGCCGGTGCCGTTCTCCGCTGGTGCGCCGCCGGTGCCGTTCTCCTCCACCAGTGCGCCGCCGGTGCTGTTCTCCTCCGCCGGTGCACCGCCATTGCCGTTCTCCTCCACCAGTGTGCCGCCGGTGCTGTTCTCCTCTGCTGGTGCGCCGCCGGTGCTGTTCTCCTCCGCCGGTGCGCCGCCGGTGCCGTTTGGTGGGTCATGTGTGCTGTTCTCCACCTGTGCACTGCCAGTGCTGTTCTCCACCGCCAGTGCACCGCCAGTGCCATTCCCTGCCAGTGCACCACCTGCCCCTGAGCTCCCTCTTCCTTCTGTGCACTCGGTCCTGTGGCTGTGGGCCAAAGGGGAAATTGACCCCGACCTGCTCACCTCAAGTGAGGAGGCCTCCAGTGATGACGACCTGAAGCCATGGCTTTATTAAAAAATAACAAAATAAAAACGAAATAAAAATACAATTGCATAATATTTTTTCATGCTTACTCGAGTCCAGGGCAGAGAGCAAAGCCTGGACGAGAGCCTCGTTGGCGCGCAGCTTCTCCCGCACCACGCCCTCGGACCAATAAGTGCGACTTTGCCCAGTTCGCTGCCTCAGCTGAGTTGTGTTGTTCGATCGGATCAAACGAACCTCATGGTCTTTCTCTCCTTCGCAGGCCAGGAGATTCAATCCACTCTGCGACGCGTCAGTTCTTCTTGTCAGATCGCGTTCACTACTGTTCCGAGTCGTATTCAGCCCTGCCGCCTGTCCATTGCGCATCGAATACTGGTACCTGCTCAGTGACGCACACCAAGACTGTTTGGTCATAATAAACTCAGTATTCGCGCCCCAGTCTGCAGTCGGTGAAGACGGCGGTCAAAGGTTCGCGCACGCCGAGAGCGAGGAACGCACCGGGACCCTCCAAGGTGGTTGGGCCGTCCGCTGCCATCGGGCTACCACCTTTACAGAATGCTGATGTCTGTGCATTCGAGAATCTCGTAGTTGCGGCACGGCTGTGCAGATCGACAGGCGATGGCCATCATCCACCAGTGGCCACGCTTCTCGTCGTCGTCGTCGTCGGTGAAGTGGACGGTCTGGTGGTTGGGCCGTGCTCGATCTAGGCCTCGTGGCCGATCTTGGGGAGGCCAGCACAGAGATGGCTGAGCCCGGCAATGATGGCCATCATCCACTAGAGGCACACCGATCGACAAAGGGGCTGGACTACGATTGGGTGATAGGATTAAAAGAGTGTCGACAATAGATTCGTTTCGATCGAAACAAAAAAACAAAACAACTTTTCAGGTGATGCGCGGGTCGGGGCCGGACGACGGTAAAGATGAAGATGACGACGGCGAAGAGGAGGGCAGCCGCGCGGCTTGTGGCGTGGGGAATGGCGGAGATGCGGAGGAGGAGGAGGAAAAATCCGGCGAGCCCAGGACCGCCGCGCATCTGCGCTTGGCGCTGCGCAGCGCCGGGAAAGCGACCACCCACCGGTCCAAGATCTGCGCCCACGCGTGACGTTTCACGTTCCCCATAGAAGGCCACAGCATCAGCGTCGTCGTCATCAACATCATCATCATCATCATTGTCATCAATAGCTAAGTGTGGCGAACCTGGAGCAGCTGTCGCATCGAATCAACCTCGTGCATGTCTCGAAACACGTCAACCACGGAGAATATGGACAAGCTCCCATTGCTGCACAAAATTAATAAATAATTAAATAAAGATAAATAAATAAATAAAGAAGAGTGCGATGTGTGCGTGCGACATTTACCTCGCGTAGATGCTGGCCGGAAGAGAACCGATGCGAAGGAATTCCTTGGCCCACCCCAGCGCCATCTGCGGCTGTTGGTCGTGACAGGTGCGAGTGAGTGTTGGTTGCGTGTGTGTGTGTGTTGCGTGTGTTGCTGACATGGTTCGTTTCACAGCACGACGTGGAATTGATAGGGGGGGGTTACCTGCGACAGGCTGCGCCAGCATTCAGCCCTCAGACGGTAGAGGTACAGCCGAAGAGACACATAGACCGAATCCGAGAACTCTGGATTGCCTTCAAACGCACACGCACGACGAACGCACGTACACGACGCACGACATAACACACAACGCACGACGCACGACGCACGGCACACACACGACCGCACACGCATGAGTTGACGATGGAAGAGAGTCGGTTGGGTTGGGTTTCTGGGTACTCTTGCCGCCGGACTCACGGTAGTACTGGTGGAACTGGGTCTCCATGCGGTCCATGAGATCCAGCAAGCCGTGGAACGTGTCGTGGAGTCTCCCCACGCCGTCCATGCGCCCCTCGCGCTCGGCCCTGTCCAGCTGCTGCCTCGCCAGCTTCACACCTGCAGCCCCCCCGTGAGAACGCGTGCGTGCGGTCGTGTCGTTGGTCGTGTCGTGTCGTTGGTCGTGTGGGAGGTGAACCGAGAACGGCCTGGAGAATGATGCGGCAGCTATAGGTGATGCGGGAGAGGGCGGTGGCCGAGATCGGGATGATGTCCCGGCTGTGCCGGTTGAGCGAAAAGAGCGGGTCGTAGGGATACCGCTCCATCTGCGCGTACTCCCTGTGCAGCTCGGCCGTCGCCTCTTCCGAGTTGGTGTCCACCTGCGCCAGGATGATCAAACTGCGCAAGTACACATCGCTATTCTACACGAGTGTCATGTTGCGTGTGCGTGTGCGTGTGTGTCGTGTGTCGTGTGTGTCGTGTGTGTCGTGTGTGTGTGCGTCGTGTTGTTGGTTGTGTCAGCCCTGATGCGCTACGTTGGTGGGTCGGAGTGGGCGAGAAGGGTACCTGGGCGCCGATCTGCCGGCAGAGGGTGGTGGCCAGCTTGAGGAAGTAGAGGTGCTGGCCGCCGGCCTCGCCCAGCTCCTCCCGGCCCAGCCGGACGTCCAGATAGGCCATCGCCACCAGCGCCTGTGAGACCCGCCAACCGAACAGCCATTAATGTAAGAAGAAAAAATGAATAAAGAAAGATATAAAAGAAAAAAAGAGACGTACTTGGGCGATGGCGTATTCAGGCTGGTCGAAGATGTAGCTGAGCTCCTCGCGGGCCTTCATTCGAAACTCGACCGCTAGCTGTGTGTGGCCCGCCAGAATCGCTCCTGCCAGGTTAGGGACATGTACTCAGTTTAGTTCAACACACACCACACACCACAACACACACACACACCACACACACGCGAACAAGCTCGTCCTACTACCACAACGACTACGAACCCAGTGAGAGGCCGATGTGCACGCTGAGCGAGAGCGGAGTCGCCCCTTCGCCTTCGCTTGATAGCACCATCTGCAGTGAAAAACAAACAGATCAGTGTACGGCACACCGCCACCACATCGTGAAAGAAAACGTGCGTGTCGTGCGTGTCGTTGCGTGTCGTGAGGTGCAAGATGTGTACCTTGATGCTGTCTTCGAGCAGGCACGCGGGGTTGAGGGGAACGATGGGCCACAGATTGCTGCGGTAGGCCTGGAGGTGGCTCATCGTGATCGCATACAAATGGAGGTCCTGCGCCACTGTCAGCAGCCGCGGAGACGCCGCCGCCGCCGCTGCCGCTTCAAACTGCTCCTGCCGACTCCAATCGGAGGTAACAAGTTGGCGGGCGCCATCGTCGTTGGCATCGTCGTCGTCATCGCTCGGGAGAAAGAGGCGCAGAAGAGCGTCCATGGACGGTTGCTGGTGGTCGCCTCTCGCGGTTGAGCTGTTGGTGGAAGCCGGAAAGGATGGCGGCGACCGTGTGGTGGTGGTGAATGAGTGCCAGCGCGACGCCGATGGCACGAGCGGGTCGCGTTCCACCGGTGCTCGGCTCCGTTGCACCCTCGCCTCTGTGTGGCCACACCACCCAAGTCAGTTCGCGCACACAACACGCACACACACACACCACGCGCACACACACACGTGCACACACACGCACACACCTATTGGCGCTGCGAGGCCGTGCGATCGGGTGGTCGCGGCGGGCTGCGTGGCATGCGCGCCAGGCCGGACGGACTGCTGAGTGGGTGCGGGCGCGGGCAGCAGCATCTGGTAGGCTGCCGACGGTGAGTCGTCGTCGCGCCGGCGTTGCTTCTTCGTTTGGCTCTTCTTCGACTGGCGACGCCTCGTGATGGTGCGTCGGGCGAGGAACGAGAGGCCCGCACCTACCCCTATCCGCGACAGCGTCGAATAGACCTCGTCCTTGCTCGTCGCGTGCGGCCCCAGCGCACCGAGCCCGGGCGTCGCGACCGCCCAGGCCGGCGCGCCATTATCAACAACGTCGTCATTGTGGTTACCACTCAAGGTTGCTGATGATGGTGCGGCGGCCGCAGCGATGGTGGCGCTGCTCGATCGGCCGCCCACAACAGCACGTGCCGACGTTGATGGTGGCGATGACGACCATGACGACACCTTTGCTGGTGATGAGGACGATGACGGTGATGATGCTGATGATGTGAGCATGATGGGCGAGGAGGACGGAGAGGCGGAGGCGGCAGCGGCGGCGGTTGTGGTGGTGCGAGGCGGCGCGTCGTTCACCAGGTCGATCTGCTCGACGGAGCGGCGGTGGGCGAGCGCAGGCGGAGATGATGAGGCGAGGGACGGAGCCGACGGCGCGTAGTAGTCGTACAGCAGCGACGCCAGCTGGCACCCGGCTGTTTCCTCCACGCCCGCCTTCGTTCTTTCCTCTTTTCGCTTTCGTTCTTTCGTGCTTAAAATGAGGAAAAGGGAGGGGTTTGATTGTTTAAGATTGTTTATTGTCAAAATATATTGAAACAAAAGAGAAAAGGGGAGAAGACGCACTGCTTTTCTGCCATCTCTAGAAGATGGTGGTGCGGCAGGCCTCGGCAGCCTCTTCAAGATCACTTCTAGAAAGAAAAAGATAGGTACCGGACACCGGCTGTTTGTGTCATGCACGCAGGGTAATATGCAGCTCGGCAATAAACGGTCTGTTCTCTTTCGCTGTGTTCTTCCGGAAGAACCTATGTAGCCCTACATAGTTGACAAGAGATGAACTGCGCGTCTTCCCGTGAATGGGCGTAGCGTCGTGCTAACTTGTTTTTATTGGTGGCTGCTTTGTCAAATAAATAGATGAACTTGAAGAGGCCTCTGGGTGCACTTCGCTTCTTCTTCTATTTCTTGTACTCCTTGATGAGGTTGGAGAAGATGACCTTTCGCGTGATCTTCATCTTGCTGATGAACGCCGGCGCGTGATAGGCCGCATTCTCTGCGTTGATCACTGCACACACGCCAACAAAAAGCAACGACACGCGAAACGAGTCAGCAAAGAAAAAACTGGACAAGGGCTGTAATGAGTGGAAGTGTGTGCGTGTGCGTGTGCGTGTGCGCGTGTGCGTGCGCGTGTGCATGCGCGTGCGGTGTGTGCGAAGCGTACGCTTGTGGAGGAACATCTGCGTGAACTCCGGGCCGGCGGCGAACACGGGCGGGTCGGGAAGGTAGGGCGAGATGGGAGCCACGCCCTCCTTGGTCACCACCTCGATCCTGCAAGCGCGAAACCCCCCAAAACAAGTGAGTTCCGTGCGTGTGCGAAGAGCGTGTGCGGTGATGTGCGTGTGCGTTGGAGTGGGTAGGGAACTACCTGTAGTAGGTCTCCTTCTTGTCGCCCCGATCGGCGGGGAGGAACTCTGGGTTGGTCTCCTCGCGCACCACGAACCACACGTCTGTGATGGGTCGGTTGGCATCATGTCAGTTCGACAAACGAGAAGACCGAACACGAAGACGAAAGCGAAAGCGAAAGAAGGCGGAGTTGAAGTTGCGTACGGTTGAACTCGGAGGCGATGCAGGTCGGGTCGAAGATGGTGTCGCCCGCTTGGAACACGATCACCACCACGTCGTTGCCGAGATGTCGCTTTCGCTCCAACTGCTGGACGTCCTTCTTGGAGTGGGGAAGGAGGGTGGACACGTGGTACATGACCTCGTAGGGCCGCTCGGGGATGTCCGACGGCAGCTCCGCAAACACTGAGTGCTCGCCCGTCTTCCCGCCTGGCCAGCCCCACCGACGATGAGCATGTCGCACACGCACACGCACACCACCGCACACGCACACACACACCACACACGCAGGCCCTCGCGCACAAATGGAGGGAGAATGTTCTTACGTGCAACGTCGAGGCCGCCGTCGTATTTCTTCCACCCCTTGAGAGGAATCTTCTCGCCAATGGACTCCAGGAACTTGTCGAACTTGATGCTGCTCATGTCTGCAAGAGAAGAGCGAAGAGCGAAGAGCGGAGTCGTGAGCAATCGGTTTCGTTTTCTCTTCTTCTCCCACGCCACAAGGCACAAAGTGCGCGGAGTAGCGGTGTGGTGGGATGTGGTGGTAGTACGTACTATTCGCAAACATGTCGTTCTCCTTGGTTTGGCCCTGGCGGCAGAAGAGGACGCCAAACTTGTACCTATATACATGCTGTCGAGTGGGAGGGGAGAGATTGGGCCAAGTCAACGCCGTGAGCCGCGGAGACGCGAAAAGCGAACGAACAACTCGGGGTAACGGGGATTGGACGTACGCATCCCTCCTCGAACTTGAGGAGCTCCTTGTGCAGCTTGGCGTTGGCGATGGGCTTGATCGCGTCGAGCGCTATCCGCTTGTCCACTGTGTCGTCCGAGAACAACGCACACGGAGCGCGAACGTGAGTCACCTGCACACAACAAAATGTAATGCAACGCGGGCGACATACCGTAGTCGATGATCTCCTTGCGGCCGGCACTGGCAGGCAAGTCCTTCAGGGGAATCAACATTCGCTCCACCGCCTGATGAAGGTCGTAGTTAGACCCGTTGTGGGGAGAGTGCCCTCTCGAGATGGGGAGAGCGCCGTACCTTCTCCGAGCGGTAGAGTACGCGCCAGGCCGTCTTCTCGCGGATTGCGGAAATGATGATCGGACCCAACACCGGGTCCATCCCACAGAAATTCTTGTGGTCTGGAGCCGACAGGCGCGAGTGCGTGTGAGATATCATGTTACAATATGCACATGGCGCACATATTGTTTGTATAAATATATATTATCATGATTGGTGTACCTTTGCCCATGAAGTACTCCTTGTACCAGGCGATGTTGTGGTCAGCGTTCTCTATCTCATATCGCACGTCCTCCTAGCCAATAGCAATAATAATAATAATAATAATAAAAGAATACAAATAAAAAAGTAAGCGCAGGCACACTCTCGAGGAAAGGTGTCAGGAGGTTCTACCGAGTGATACTTGGCATTGATGACTCGAGCCTGTCCTCGCTCCACTTGGTAGCCGGGCACGTCCAGAGCCAACTTCACAATCTTGGGTTGCAGCGAGACGTGACGTCAGCACGACGCGAAACCCACAAATGCTGAAAAGTCGATGGAAGCACCTTGACGTTGCTTTCGGCGGCCTTCTTGCGGGCCTCCTCTTCCTCCTCGAGCCGCTTCGCCGCGGCCTCTTCTTCGGCTTGGCGTCGCTCCTGGTAGAGTCGCTCCCGCTCCACTCGGCTGAGCCGCGTGTCTTCCTTTTCCTTGCCAAAGTTCAGGATCTCCTTCACCACTGCAGGATCGAATCGGAGTTAGTGACAGCGAGGGGAGGGGCAAAGAACGAAAGCGAGCGCAAATAACGAAGAGAAAAATGTGAAATGTGGGGGGGTCAGTACTGAGGAGGAAGGCAGATTCGACGTTCTCGCCGGATTCGCTGGAGGCCTCGGTGAAGGCGGACTTCCAATCGAAGGCCAGCTTCTTGCCGTCCGAGGTCAGCACCTCGCGCTGGTCCTCCTGGTCCACTGATGACGAAGAGCAGAGATTGGATGAGCAAACGGCGAAATAGGGACCGGGGCAGACAATGTTGAACGAAGCACGAAAAGGGGGAACGCGTACTCTGAGTTCCGACGATGCACATCGGCACCGCGCGAGCTTCCTTGGCCTTCAAAATTCGCTCCTTGTAGTTACTCAGCATGGCTGTGTGACACACACACGACACACGGCACACGGCGCACACAACACACCGCGTGAGCCAGTGAAGGTGTGGCAATCGCTGAGCGTCCAGATGCCGTACCAAAGGTGCCGGCATCGCCGATGTTGTAGACCATCATGAAGCCATCGCCCCAGGCAAGCCACTGTCACGGGAAAGGCTACGGCTTAGCGAACCGCCAACGCTGTAGCAGGTCCCATAAACGGGAAGGGTGTAGGAATACGTTGGGGTAGAACTCGCTGTAGAGGGCGAGGTCGCCCGAGATGTCGCGAATCTTGAGCGTGTACTGCTTGTCGTTGACAGTCAGCGTGTGGACGTGATCGTCCTCTGCGCCGCCGCCACCGCCACCACAGGCCACGCTGTGAGTCACT